CCAGGCGGGGTGTGACTTTGACGTCCACACAATGGCAGATGAAGTCGGTCATCACTCGGTAGGAATTTGACATGACTTGAGTCGGTACTATCTCGTAGAAATTAAAAAAGGATACAAAGAATGGGTGTAATGGAAGCCTAAGCCCAGCTTTCACTGAGTCTAAATGGACTGTCACCATCCCAGGAAGGTGGCGCATTGGATGAAGCCCGACCCGTAGACGGAAGTCCACTGGGTCCGAGATTTGGGCTGGGATTTGGGCCCTATTGTGAGAGGTTAGTTTCTGCCGCCTCTCTTTTATCAAATTTAGGTCGAGCTTGTAGCGAGGGACATCGTCCGGGGGGCAACCGTCATAGAAGCAATCTCGTCGTCAGACTTTGTGTCGTCTGATTCATCGCCGGAAGAAGAGGAGCCGTCGAAAGAATCCTCCGCCGCTGCACAAGCACTCGCCGTCGTTTCATTGGCTACGTCAGCAAAAGGAACGGTTATGGCATTCACAACGGCATCATCATGAACGTCCCCTTGGGAGGCCAATTCCAAAACAGGGGAGCGCGGTCGAGAAGACATAATGACCAAAACTGAGAGTAGGAAGAACGAGGAAGGGGCGGAAAGTACCTGAACACACGAAAAGCTTGGGAGTCCTAGAAAGAAGGCAGAGCTAAAGCACGAAGGAAATGGGAATTCGAAACCCATAACCAAGGAACTCAAGGCCTATTTATAGCCTGACATGCACCGATTCACAAACCAATCAGAGTGAGACACGTCTCCAACAGCGTTTGAGAAAACACATGTCACACGGAGAAACAAAGCCCAGTAATCATGATGATTATGGGGAAAATCAAACGACAGCCGCTAGTGGGCCGTAAAATCAGGATATCGAGAACCGACAAGATCCTATACACGATTTCCGAACGGCATACGACCAAATCATTATGATTACTTAACCAAATTATTCTACTTCCTTATGCCCTCACTATCGTTCGAGACATCAGAAGTGGGGGACTAGTTGGGATATTGGGCCGAAAGCCCAATATACCAGACACATTAGTCAGCAAGGATCCAAAGAAGAATAGGCCCAGTAACTAGTTATACCGAATGGGAAATCCAGGGAACCATGAGGGATTACACCACGAACGGGGATCGGGTCATGCAGGTAACTTGGGCCAGATTAATAATGATAGCAGCATGGGCATCGTTCTGAAGCCCGAACGGGTAGCCTGCAAGTGGCAAGGGGCATTTAATGCTAGGGTATTGCGTCAGCAAGTGGGAGTATGGGCATCCAAGTGGCTCGAGAACGGCAGTAAGTCAGATTCAGCCACATCATCACCCCCATCCCCTATTATTAGTACAAATAGGGGCTCTAATCTCATTGTAAAGGGTTAGCATTTTGATACTCAAAGCCTAGAATAGCTTTATCATTCTTGTTATTGTATTATCACTATTTCGACGTATCGTTCGGGAAGTTTCCTGTGTAATCAGTGAATTGCTTAATACAAGTGTGCTTTTGAGCATATTATTACTCAGCTTTTATATTTTCTTAGACCCTTGACTTATTTTCCATATCCTTATCCAAAGCGTGTGTTGAGCTTTCGGATCTGCGGGACTTAACCTCAACAAAGAGTTTTGTGGAAAGACTTTATTCCAGTATTATCTCTGCTTTGGTAGTACTTGTGTTTATTTTAGTTCGAGTAATTTTGTTTTGAATATTTGGTTTTCTGGAGTACTTTTGTTAGATTGTTTCAGTTCCGGATGTCTTAGGCTTAAATGTGTGTATTTTGTGTTTAGCGAGTCACACTACTTTGTATGAGGTGATTGACTCCAAGTTTATTTCTATGGCTTACGATTGTATTTTTGATAACTGTCTCGAGGTTGTCTTGTATGCGGTTTTGATATTAATATAAAAAGTCGCTTTTTTACGTTCAAAAAAAAAGTTTCATGAGGCTCACTAATAATTGTAGTATTGAGTTATTTCATTTTAATGTAGAGTTTATTATTTTCCACGTAGAGCTTATGGCTACATATTAGCGTTTATTTAAATTTTACATGCAAATTTTCATACTCCGTATGATTCAAATTTTAATTTTCTTACAATTACTAGTTACTACTAAAAGTTACAACATATAAACTCGATCGTCTTCTATTATTTGGCAAAATTACACATTATGTACCATTATAAATCATAATTTTAAATAAATTATCATTCAATTCTAGATATATGTCATATAACTCATGCATGACAAGTAGGGGTGGGAAAACCCGAACCGAAACCCGGAAACCGGCCCTGGCCCGGCCCGAATTATGATATCGGTCCGGGTTTTTTCTTTTTGACTGGCCCGAATATAAAAAAAACCCGGACCGAACCTGAAACTTCGGGCTCTTTAACGGGCCCTAAAATCTATAACCCGGTCCGGACCGATAAAACCCGAAACAATTAGGCTTAATATAAAATCAATATAATATACCAATATAATTTATAAATTAATTTCTATTTTATGATTATAATCATGATGGACGAAAAATGACTTAATAACTTTTAGTGACTACAAATATGTTCAATTTATTTACCGTAATGACCATGAAAACATATTTATATTAACTTTAGTTACATTTTTATCCATAAATTTTATTTCATAACATTTTTAGAACACCTATATTACTTATTTTTATGCATCTTAAACAAAATATTATGATAATTGTATTCTTTGGATTTATATTCTTGGTGATTTTGGAGACTAATATTTGTGATTTTTATTAATTTAATTTGTGGTTTGTACTTTTTATTAATTTTATTTGAAAATTGATTTTAAAATATAAAGAAAAATGAGCGATTTCACATTCGGGCTTTAACCGACCCAACCCGAACCCGGACCGAACCCGGGCTACAAAAAACCCGACTCGGACCGAATATAGTGGGCTTTTTTCGGTCCCTAATTTTCATAACCCGATGCCTTACGGGTAATTTTCGGGTTTAGCAAAAACTCGACCCGGACCGGACCGATCCCACCCCTAATCGCAAGGGTATTTTCATCTAGTTATTGAAGAAGAGAGTATGCATTAAAGGAATAGAATGGGTCTGTAGGATTCTCTCTTGTATATCATTGTAGCAAAAATAAGGAGGAAGAACATGCCTTGAAAAAACGATGGAAATTGCCCTAAATAGGAGTAAAAACGTTTTGAAATTCCAAAATAGGAGTATCATATTTTTCATTCCTTGAATAGGAGTAATCTGCCAAGTTTGGAAAAAAATGTCATGTTTAAAAGCCTAGTAATGCCAAACTTGGTAGAAATTTACTCCTACTTAGGGAATAAAAAACATGATTGTCCTATTTTGAAATTTCAAAACTTTGTTACTCCTATTTAGGCAATTTACTCATTTATTAGAAATTGCTCTAAATAGGAGTAGGCATGGACTCAGGCCGGGCCTAGGCCCGACCGGGCCGCTGGTTTGTAAGTGATGGGCCCGGGACCGGCCCGAGGTCTGGACGGTTCCGGTTCGGGCCGGGCCACCCGCCAGGCCGGGCCGCTTAAATCCAATTTTTTTTTTATAATTTATACTTTATAGTTTTATACAAGTATTAAAAACAAACTTCAAGTGCATTTATTTGAAATGAAATAGGAACTACATTTGACAATTAAGAAAAAAATACAATATGAAATACATTTTGTAAATTGTAATCAATCGGAATTTCCCGCACCTCCCGATCCTTTGACTTTGTCACATGACATAATATGCTTCATTGCCATCCCGTATCCGCGTGAAACCCCCATGCTACACTTTTTCCCGCATCATTTGCAAGTTGTGTACCACATCCCGGTCCTCGGGTCCTTCTGCTTATCAAAATTATACCGTATAACGGCATATTGACTTTCCATCTTAAAAATGGTAGATATAATAATTCTACAAATACTACAATAGATGGAGATGAAGTTGGAGAATGGAGATTAGAGATTGGATGTTGGAGAAGATGTGTATAAAAATGTTAGAAAATAAGAGTATTTATAGAATTTATATTGGACAATAAGAGAATTTGAGAAGATGAAGATAATTAGAGAGTAGAGAGTAACGAGTTAAGAGTAGGATTTAGGAAGAGTTGGAGTCATGGAGAAGAGATATGGAAAAATGTTTAAGATTAGGAGTATTTATAGTTTTTTTTTACCCCCCCCCCCCCCCCCCCCCTCCCCCCAAATCGCCCGGACCCCCCTGCAGCCCACCCAACGGCTATATAGCCGTTTGGGTAGCCCCAGCCCACCCCCCAACGGCTAGTTTGGCCCAAAAGTCCAAAACAATTTTTTAAAAAAAAAAATTGATCGTTGGACCCGGACCCGAGCCCGACCGAGCCGGGTCAACTTTTTTCGGAACTGAGCCCGCCCCGCCCTAACCCCCCGGTTCGGGTCTACACCCGGTCCCGGACCGCCAGACCAGGCCGGTCCCGGGCCCGCACAGTAGCGGGTCGGGCCGGGTCATGGGCCGGGTGACCCGAACCGAATCCACCCCTGAATAGGAGCAAAAACATTTTGAAATTTCAAACTAGGAGTATCATGTTTTTTATTCCCTGAATAGGAGTAATCTGCCAATTTTGGGAAAAAATATCATGTTTTAAAGCCTACTAATGCCAAACTTGGCAAAATTTTACTCTTATTCAAGGAATAAAAAACTTTATAGTCCTGTTTTGGAATTTCAAAACGTTTTTACTCCTATTTAGGGAATTCACCCTTTATTTGTACGGAGTATATAATAAGCTAGCTTAATTTATTTCATCACTTTTACGCTATTGCTTCATGAAATATAGTTTCTTTCTAGTTATGATTAATAATAAAATTCAACACACACAAAAAAAAGAATCAACACATACTATAATACGTTTGGTGAGAACAAAATACTCACCCCTATTTAGAGCGATCAATCTATTTGACTTTGAAACTAAGCTTTTAGATTCAATTTTGGCAAGGTATTTGGCTAATATTGACGGAACGTGCCAAGTATTTCATAAAAATAAAATAAATAAATAAATAAATAAATAAATAAAGTCATGGTAAATTTCATTTCTGTCAAATAAATCAGATGATACATTCTTCTATACTTATAAATCAAATGATATATTTAGAGTACCTACCAAACGGGACCTAAAGTCTCTTCCTCGTAATATCTATTGTGAGTTGTACTATGTCTACAACACCATATAAATTGAGCTCCATCCCAGAGCTCAATATATTGTCACGACTTTGATCCTGCATAGCTGCTTTTAGCATCTTGTGTAACTTCCAGAAGATGTGTGAACATTTTCAAAGAAGAATCTGCAAATTTACTTAACTGCCCTAGTAAAACAGCCAAGCCCGTATTGAAACGATCAAAAGACACAGCAATGCTATGGTTTTCTCGGGTCACTTCAGAGGCTAAAGTTCCCATGGCATCAACCACGTCTTTAGTAGGCAAGGACTCGAACATCTCCAACCAAACACCACATATCACATAAACGGGTGGCCCGTATTTTCTGAGTGGTGGTGCGCTTCTTCTTCGTCTCCATGAAGATTTCTCTTCGAGAAGCACGCACTTTGTGAGCCATGTGTTAATGGATTCCACATATACTTTCTGAGCGCTTATCCAGTTGGTGAAGCTTGAAGATAGAGATGCTAGCTCATTTTCAAGGTGGATTATGATTTCCCGGCGTGAATCTGAGGACTTTATATACGAGATCTTCATGTTTCCAGGGGAATTTGAGGCTGATGAAATGATTTCGTGCTGAAGCCTGTGGGACTCCAGCATTATTTCCCACATGCTTCTTAATCTGCACTTATCAAGGAGGGAGGGAGGGAGGGAGGGAGGGAGGGATGGAACTGTATTAAAACGAAGCTATACATGTGATTGTATGACTAAACACTCCCATTATCTTCTTAATACCCCACCAGGCATTTATCATGTGATTCAGTGATTGTTTGTCATATGCCTAATTATTGGTGGTTTAATGAGAGTGTGTGTTCTAAGTGCCGCAGGTATTACCACACAAAGTTTGGCCAAAGACGCACTCTTAAGGAGTAGTTTGGTAGATCATAATACTAACTTAAAATGCAATTTACCAATTACAGAGTATATTTTTAGTGTGGGCTTTACATTACACATCTCACTACATGACATTTCATATGGTTACCAAACTACACCTAATGGTAAACAAGTAATATCATGAAAAGTAAGCATCCATGTAAAGTTGAGAGGTTATTCTCAGTATTTTCTAAGGTCAAAGCAAACATTTGAAAAAACGTTTACCTTTAAACATTTTTTTGTTCACTTCCCTACCATCTTAAGGCTCCAAAAATAGACCTAATGATTTTGTAAAATACTCCGTACATAAAGTGATAAGAGGAGGCAAACCCTTGGATCAGCCCCTCAAGCTGAGGTTGAAGTTCATTGTCTCTCAAGTTCTCAATTGTCCTGGAGACGGAGTTTATTCTGGCAATGGCAACCCCAAGGCTAGAGTGCAGATCCTTCACCACAGCTCGCACGTTATCAATCCTTCCAGAACTTTCTCCCCTTGACTCTAGCTCTCTGAGCACCTTACACCTTTCATCATATAGACGTCTCACCATTGCACATCCCTGAAACAAAAAAAAGCACTTTAGAAGTCAAAAATATCATAATGATTTGGAGTCACTTAATTGAGATCAAGCCATACTAAAAGATTGACCCATATTTATTAGCTATTGTAGTGCAAAAACTTATAAACTCAACCTCTCTTTAATCTTTTGTCATTGTCAATTGAAAAAGTTTACATATAGCGCTACAAAGTATAATCGGTCTCACTGAGCTTTTTGTCTTTTCTCATATATGCACCTCATATGCAAACAAACAAGTCAAGAAGTGTACCTCTAGCATACATATGACCAAACACATACCTGAACTTCATCATAGAGTTTCTTTTCCCAAGCAAACAGCCGATCTAAGGTCAATGCATGGCTACCCGGTTTCATACAAAAGTTATCAACATCTTGATTGCAGGAATTTTCTATATACGTAGAGTTCACATCATGTGGGACCCTCAGTGAAGAAGAAGGCGATGACATGGTCCCATGCCATGTCAGATACTTAACAGAAGTTTGAGAAGGTTCTGAAGAAAAAAGAGAGAATTAAAGGAACAAGTGAGGTACATTCCATTCATTTTCAAACAAAGGTATTTTGTACATATATAAGTGATCATTTAGCAACCCCTTAAATTAAACCATAAAGGCATTATGTTGTCCTCTCATATTGTTTTAAAGCTTAATCAAAACCAATTGGGTAATGATTGTCAACTTAAGACAAAATTAATCAATTATCACCTCAAAACCCATAACTTTTCCGACAGTTATTTGAGAACGGAAGAGCTATATCATTGTACAGTAACACCAATTAAAAGGATTGAGTATGTAACAAGTAGACTATCTACAAAATCCCACTTTATTGGTTTACCGAATAGCGTATTTAATCCATTTATTTATAACCGTCAATAGATGTATCCCCAAAAAATCCATTTATCTACTGAAAAGACCTGCCGGTGGTTTACCATTTTTAGGTATAAGCACAAAGAAGTGGTGTAAGTGACAGAAGGACAAAGGTACCTACCTTTTTGGCACATGGAGATCTTCACAACAGAAACAAAGTTTAAAGAACTTATTTAATAAACCTCTCAGTAAATGGTTAAAAGAGCTTGAACCCAATACATTATGAGAAAACCACAAGGCAGTAAAAAGGTGGAATTGGGACCATGTCATAGACGGATTCATAGTAATGTATTTTATTTTTTTTAAAAGACGGCCATATCTATCTGGTGATACATTCAATTACTAATGTGCATTAATATATTAATTAGCTACCCCTTCAAAGCCAAAACATTGTTCTCAAATATTGCGGCTTTAAAATATTGAGAGAGCATAAATTGCCTATTTTCCACCATTACTCTTCTCCACCCCAAAATTGATTCATGTTAGCCGACCCCAAAATCTTTTGGGAATAAGGCTTGGATGTTGTTGTTGTTGTACTCTTCTCCATCCATAAATGTTACATAACTTTTTTAAACTTCAGTAGGGGTATTCTGCCTATATTATAATATTTTACCTTCAATTTAGAAATATATTCATTACTTTGTTAATATGTGTATGCAAACATCTAAAACAACTGTTGAAGAGAATGAATGAAGTATAACTTATGATTAGAACTGCAGAAAGCAGAGCTGTATAAATAAATACCATCTCCAGGGGATAGAATTGGGTGGAAATGGAATTCATTTGCTTCCAGCATCTGAGGAACTTCTCTTCCTGAGTCTGCAGCTTGAATGAAGAGGCACTCAATATCTTTTATGCTGGAAAAGAGGTCTTTCTGGCCAACCATAGTTTCAACAGTGCTTTCTCTTGCTGCCTGTTTCACCCCGTTAACAATTCTCGAGGATAGATGCCTCAGCGGAGGCAAACTAGTCAAATTAAATTCATCATCTGACTCAGCACCTCTCGGGGTTTCTAAAGGGACGGGAGATGTTTCAAATGTAGTATCCAGTTCAACAAACTTTCTAAAATTGATTCCTGTGGTTTTCAACGCCTCTAAATAAGCAGTGTGATTGGCTGCTAATAAGCATCTGCCATCAACTGCTTCACTAACAATCTTCTTCCGTTCATCACAAAGTTGTAAGGCTTTATCTTCTTCGAATTTAGAATTCACGCCTCCCATTGAATAGCTACACACAAAATCACCCACACAAGAACTGTCAAGTCAACATGTAACATAGCACCAACTTCTTCATATATAATCCACTTCTCATTTTCTTAAGAAATTCAAAACCCAATAGATCCATCAATGATGTTAAATTCATCTAACTCATCCCCAAAGGACAAGCAGAAAGTGAGATTTACCACACACACACACATATATGCATACACATTCGAGTTAATTCTAGTAAACAACCAATAGCCAAATGGGCCCAAGCAGGGATGGAAAATAGAAGGGGTGCACCGATAGCCAAATGGGCCCAAACAGGCTGGCCCGAACCATCGAGTTGGCAGGCACAGCACTAACCATTATAGGATCATGCAACCCGTTCATGTTAAATGGAGCCTAAATCATCTCAAATGGATTCTCAAAATGTAAAACATGCATCACACTTATATACTACATGCAAACCCAGTACAAAACAAATGTCATGCAAAGTTGTGATATGTGTAGTGCAGAATTCGATCACAGATAGAAACCAAAGGAACAAACATACCAAAAGCAAAAGCAAGGCTTCACTTGGCATGTTAGAGTTAAAATACATTTGGTAATCACTATTCCCTTCATATAGTGTAGTGAAAAATGTTATGAGGATTCCTACGGAAGCTCTAATGAACTTGCCAAACATGGGAAAGTTAACAGAATGGTTTTGATATTTCATTTTAAAATGCGCACAAAAAGTTTAAAAACGGTGTTTGGTATGCTGAGCTGATCTCATCCTGAAAATCAAGTGTCTAACAATTCTTTTACGTTCATGACAAGGTTGTAAGGCTTAATATTTTATGCCTTTAGATTTCACCGAATCCCCACCCGGTTAGCTGAGTTTAGTTGTCATTGAATATACCAGCTCAAGGCTTACTTCTTCAGCAGAAACTTATTTTTATAGCAGGGAAATCACACACTCAACCTGGACTATTTCAACCAAACACTTGCAGAAATCTAGTTCAGCCAATTTAGCAAATTCAGAAATCATTAAATGGCCCCTTAATCTATATATCCAAGTTCATAATCAAGCCCCAAAAGAAGTAAAAAGTCTGATCAATAGAGTAACAGAAAAGAAAAGTACACTAAGATATGAAAAATAACAAAATCATTATTTAGAACAATTAATTGAAACTATAAACTCAGGTCTCCCATGAAAATCCAGAGAAGATCCATATGTAAGTCTAGGTATGAGATGAGTACATAAAAACCAATACATGGTAAAGCCGTTAAATTTTCACCACAAAAAGGTAAGTACATTAGCAACAGAGGCAAATGTCGAACACAAATTGAGCAATAATTCAAACAAGGAAAATAACCAAATAAAGGAAGAGTAATAATCCAAACTTCAAACCTTTTTCCTAAGATTTAACTTATCAACAGAGACCCAATAGAGTGGAATATAAATAAGCTCAAGCCCAAGTCCAACACAAACGGCAAACTTTAAGCAAACAAACAGACCAAAGAAAAAAGAGTAAGCATCAAGAGATAAAATTAGAGTGCGGTTATGTTGCAGTAGCTGATGGAGTAAAGAGAAGTGGAAACGTTAGCTCTCCTCCCTCCACAGAGAGTGGCTTGAGAGATTAGGGTTTGTTGACTGTTTCTAGAAATGTGTGTGCAAGGAGAGGAGAGGAGAGGAGAGGGGGCGAGAGAAGTCAGCGCAGAAAGAAAGAAAGAAGGAGGTCGTGGCGGTCTACGGTGGACAGTGGGGTCCCACCCCCGCCATCTAAAGTCGCACTTTTACTATCTAAAAGCGTAAGTGGCTGACCCACCCTTCTTTCTTTGCAAATTCTCGTTTTCTTCTATTTTCATTTCAATAAAATTATCCCCAATGGAGTATATTTTAATGGAATGTGAGATAAGTATTCCAAATTTGTATATTCAATTTATATACCCCTAATTTTATAAAAAGTTATTTTTGCACCATGATTATATATTTTTCGCAAATATAATTTTTTTGGAATAATTATATATTTTAAAATGCTCTAAACTTTTAATTTTAAATTTTAGAATGAATAATATTACATCCAATACAATTTAATTTTAATTGCATTCTCATAATTTTTTTTGTACTTTAAATTATGTATGTAACACCATAAAATTACATTTGTGAAAAGTATTATCATGGTTCTAACATAACGTTTTATATAAAATTTGAGGTATATATATTACACGTGTAAGTTTATGGTACTTATTTCACGAGGTAATTACCTAAATGGGAGTAAATACATCTTTAATTGCCAAAATAGGACTAAAGTTTAAAAATTCCCAAAATAGGAGTTATTAATTGTAATTGGACAAAAACACCCCTGAAGCTTGGAAAATCCGACCTCCGCCACTCTAATTGTATTTGGCCGCTGCCACTACAAATCCGACCTCCGCCACTGCACACCCGGCCTCCGCCGCTGCAGATCCGGCCAACGACGCCAGTTATGCCAACATTTTATCAAAATGCCATCATAAATTGAGAATGACATCTAAATGGAATTTTCAAAGGAAAACATGAAATTTTTTGAAGACGATGAATGCCATTTTTATGGCATTTTCAAACGAGATATGGAATTTTTTAACAACCAAATATGAAACAGAGCTTTGGTCATTCAACGAAAAGATGAATCAGGGATACCATTGTAATGGCATTTTCAAAGGAAAATACAAAATTTTTGTAAAATAAGAATGCCATTTTGATGACATTTTCAGTGTTGAAATTGATATTTTTTACCAATCAAAGAAGAAATCGAGCATCTACAACGAAATAGAAGAGGGAGAGAACTGGAGAAGAGGGGAGGAAGGAGAGAACCTACCTTCGAAGAAGAGAAGATCTCCGACGGCGACGACGACGGCGGCGGTGATGACTATGACTGGGCAGTGACGGAGAACTTCACGTCAGCGGCGGCAGGCTCGACGCTTTGGTTGTTCCAATGCGAAGGGGAAGGAGAAGAAGGTGTATTGCGCAAGGGGAGATGCGCAAGGGAGAAGGGGGAGAAGATGCGCCGCAGGGGAGAAAAAGAAAAGGAAGAGGGGAAAGGGAAAGAATATGGGTAAATGGGTAATCCAATCCCATTTAGGGCAAAAAAATATGATTAGTCCTATTTAAGAGTTTCACCAATAATTTAGTCCCTTTTAGGGCAATATTTCCTTATTTCACTCCTTCAAAGTTTAGGATATTTAAATTATTTTCCTAAAATTAAAATTAAAGTTATATTTTTTTGATAATTTCAATTCGTTATTCAACAAAATTCATCACACAGTAAGTTTAAGGGAAATTACCCTAAATAGGAGAAAATGAGGTTTGGAATACCAAAATAGGACTACTATGTTTTTCTTCCCGAAATAGGAGTTTATACTGTCATGTATGAAAAATATTGTTATTAATTATAATAAATATTGTCATGTTAAATGCACTGTACAACAATTATTTGACAGTCACGCCTACAAGATGACAGTAAATACTGTCATGTTAGTCATATTTCGGGAATAAAAACATAGTAGTCCTATTTTGAAATTTCAAACTTCATTTACTCATATTTTGGGGAATCTCCTATTTTAAAAGCCTAAGTTTAAATTGTAAAACATATATCCACATCAAATTTATTGGGAAAATGGGAACATAGTCCATTGTTTCATTTAATTCATCAAGGGTTGGGTTACTGCATACAAAATAGTGTGATATGCAATCACATAACATTAATTAATATTTAATATATAATAAAACAGTGAGGTTGGTACATATCAGGAACCCTACCTAAATAAGGTATTTTAGATGCGATTTACTCGAGCTTTCTGATTTCTTACATACGCTAATATATATGTTTTACTTTTATTGAAATAAAAATTAAGATGATCTTTTTTTTTTTGCTATAAAAGAATTTTTTCATTTAAAAAATCGTTGCAGCTAGCCTATTTATTTATCCAATCACGATTAGTTTCATCATATTTACACATTGCATCCTTCACTGCACCTGCGGCTATTGGTGATTTTTGCTCAAATAAATATAATCTTTAGTTTTAGTTTATGTGATTTTTTCATTTTACCGGCCCTAGCTATTTTTTATTCTGAATTTGTCAATAAAGTTTATTTAATTTTCACATTATTAATTAAACTTCATCGATCTATACATTCCGTGTTCCTTTTTAAAACAGCTTAAATACAAAGCAAAACTACAATTACAAATGAGTAGTGATATAAGAGTATGCATTTGTTGATAATAAAAGCAGCTAGTTTAAATCAATTTTGAATACAACAAGTTAAAAATGGAAACATGCATGCAGTTTAACTAAACCGCTGTAAAATTAAATTCCTTGTTTAAAATAGTTTCAAACATTTACTCAATAGATTTTAAACAATCTCAAATCTTAATACTCTTCATCATCCATGATACTCAAATAATTAGTGTTTCTACACCATGCATTAAATGCAAGTTTAACTACAACCTAAAATAATCCGGGATCCTAATCATGATACCGGATTTTCTTTTTCAATAATCTCTTTTAATAATCTTTCACTCACAATGATAATATTTCAAATAATCTTCCACATCATTCAATTAAACCTCAAATAATCTAATGGATGGGGATGCCCTTAGTAGATTATTGGGGGTGTTTTCCTACTGACTTACTAGTATGGTAAGTATTAGCTCCATATTAATGTGTTTTGTTTTAAAAATGTTTTTTTAAATAAAGTTGATGATTTTATACAAGTTTAAGTGCAATATGACTTTATATGTAGTGTAACAGTTGATGACTTTGATTTTAGTAATAAATGTTTGAGTTATGTGTTTTTTGTGTATGTAATGTTATTCAAAATTTAGTATTGTGTCATGGTACTTCATTATAAAAATGACTTTATAGAAATTGCAAGGTTGATTGAGAGGCATATCCAATTGATAAAGCTCTACAAATGCGATTTCCATAAATGCTGCAGTGGTGTTTTCCTATGCCTTAAATTTTTGTTAAAGTTTTACTTCTTTTTAACCTTTCCAAGTGTCTATATTAATCACATATGAGTGGACCCAGGTCCAGGGGCAGCGGTGGATCCAACAATAAAAGGTAGGTGGGCGGTAAACACTAAAAAAATGTAGATATACTAGATACTTGTAGCCAAATTGATTTTAGTTTTAAATCATCTTAACCGTCTTTCTTTCAATATTGGCTCAAAATTTGTATAGTAATTAACATTTTGTAGCTAGGGTTATCACAGTGATGGATTATCTGACCAGGGTGACCGGAATCCAACTGAAATGAGAGTAAAAGGGAGAGTGAACCGATCGGAAAATGCAAGTACTTGATCCGGCAGAATAACAGTATATGAGTATTAAGAGTGCAATAGATTAAGCATCAAGCAAGCCTCCCTGTCCACAAGTTGGAATGTGATATTTATAGGAGAGGGACACGTGTAAAACTATTCTAACAAACTAACAGCCTAATTCGATGGGAAGCAGCCACGTGTAAAGCTAATTAGAGAGAGAAACTTCAATAGCTGGCTGATTGGGGATTGCTTCTAACAGGATTGCTGCCAGAGATCCCGTGTGGCTACGCATGGGTAACCAGGAATGTTCCCTGTGTTGATGGTGACGTGGCGACACCTCCTTGTGAGGTAAGTCCTTGCGGATTTTGTCTAAGTCCACGACGCTTCATTCAGACCTTGGAGATTACTGAGGTCGATATCTGGGAGCTCGGGCTCGTGATGAGAGGACTCGCCCCTTTGTCCTTTGTTCCCGCCTTTGAGGTAGTTGTCTGCCTGGTGCATGCTGACCATGCGTTTGACTCCCGGGATCAGACTTGGTGCCGAGCTCGGGCGTCTCGAGTTCGGGCTCATAACCGGTCGAGTCTGATCGATTCCTGAGCTTGGTATTTTCCCGACCTCGGTGGTCGAGGTCGGGGTGGGCCAACTTCTTGATCCTTAGCTTGCTCTGTTGACTGGCGCTTGTTTCCGACCCTGGCTGGTCAGGTCGGAGTCGGTATAGCTGCAGACTTAGTCTTTTCGTGCACTCCGGAATGGGTCTGTGATGCTTTATACCGGAGATTATGATACCCCTAGGGTATACGGGAATATACTCCATCATGAGTCCCCCACTCTCCGAGACGAAAGTGAAACTTGAGGTGAGAGAGAGTAAATCTTCAATTTCCTGGACACGTTCGCCCGACAGGGGTGCTGCTCTTCCATGGTCATGACAAAGGGGTACCTCATTAAAAACTCCGCTGAGGAAAAACCCTGTGGGAAAAAATCCTAACGCAGGAAAAAGAGTATACTCCGCTTTGCCATGAAGTCCGGAGAGGAAAGCGATGCCCCGCTGCAGAGAGGTCCCAGTTTGAGCTCTGTGTATTTCGCATTCCAGTCCTGCTTCATAGGTTAGTTGCTACATCCACGGCCCCGACCATGGGTTAATAAGATTTTAATTTTGAAAAAATTTCACCAGGAATTTTAGTGTGTGTATGTGCAGAGTTTGTTTTTCAGAGATACCAGTTTGGTGTTGATCCCGAGGTGGCTGCGTTTTTCCGAGCTTGTTGTAATCTTGTTTTGTTTTTTGATTTCTTTCCCGAGTCCCCCACTTACCAGTCTCCCACTCTTGTGGACTTAAAATATTTTCTAAGTGCGAAAGAGTATGATTCTGAGGAGGACGAGGCAGTTGCATTTAGTGCTTGGTGGAATTAGGAGAGTTTGTGGCGTGTAGTAACGCTGATGT